TTAAAAGAAACTTAAAACGGATTCTGTGAGAGTAAAGATTAATCTTTCATTGTTAAAGGGTAGTAAGTGTTTTTAGAAAATCGCTCCGAAAAATGACTTGCATACTAAAAATTCCCGAATTTGGCGTATTTTCAAGTTCAAAAGGATAATACTTCTGCCTCTTAAAAATCATTAACTTTAGGTGCAAATTGTAGATACATCTTTAATCTTCAAATAGCAGTGCTTTGATTTAGAAGCAAACACCTCCAAATCTCAGTAAAGTTAGTTTAACGAAGCCTAGTTGGCCAATTTTGGTCCATTCTTCTCTAATTTAGGGCTCCTTGAAGCAAGGTTTAAGGTTTGTTTGCTTTTCTCTCCAGCAGTTATCTTTAATTTGATGACGCAGTTGCAAGGAACAGGTGAGGCAAAGTAATTCTAGTTTTAATACTTATATACCTGAATTTGAACTTCAAGATAAAACGAGACTAAATACCGGTTGACTAACACAATTTAGCAGCCATCACATGCCGTCGAGGACAGTTGAATAAAGATTCTTAATTTTCTCTGCAAAGTAATCGCGCGTCGGAGAGATAAATTAACTATTGGGCGCACATTTCTGGTCGCAAATTTCAAAAAAATTCACTCGCATTTGACAATCCCGGCCATGGGCAAGTTTGTCTATACCTTGACGCCACGGTTCAATTCTGTAAAAACTAATTAAGGCTAGCCACATATCTTAGTCCTAGATTTTTGTCTCCGACACTAATAGTCCTTCGGACCACTTTATTGTTCACTTGATAAGCAAAACAGAGTTTCACCCGTTAATAGCAGCTTAAATGGCATCATTTGAAATGTGTGGCAGAAATTAAAGTCCAACTGTGGTGACTTCTACGGGACGGTTGAAGACCCACATGCTACTATTATTATGTAAATCTGAAGTTTGTACGATTTTCTTTTGGAAGAATGAAAAAGCATTACGGCATGTGCTTTGCGTTTATCAAAACAGAAGGTGAGAGCACTTTGGTTTAGTTCGAGTGCACGGCCTTGTTGTTGTGATTTGTCGCAATTGCTGCAGGCCGTCCTGGTGACCTGTCTTCGGCTAGCTATCGGTTTTCTCAGTTTTAATTCCTAAAGGTCCCTTTTTTTTTTTTTTTGTTGATCATTTTTCTCTAAGGACTTTGTGACAAAGGACTGTCGAGTAAGACAGTTTGACAAAACTTAATCAAAAAGAAGCTTTTGGTTTAATTTAAAATAATATTCAAAAGGACTCTAAATAAATTCATCCCAAATGGGTCCGCTCGGAAAGTAATCGAATGCTTATCGAGTCCGGGAAGACTTACATCAACAAAAAAATATTTCGACCCCAAAAGATCTTTCTTTGCAGCCATCTTATCGCGAACAAGACTGCCCTTATTAAAACAAAAAAAAAACAAAACAAAAAAAAAAAAAAACTAGCAGCTCCAAAGCCCCTCAAATCAAGCAAACAAACAGCCAGCGGCTGGTCGAAGTGTGTTCCCTAAAATTATTGCAGACATTACTACTTCTTAGAAGCGACATTCTTCAACATTCATGTGGAAATCGTCGATGAGACTGAAGTAAAGATGTTATATTATCAGTCACTGCTACGTTGAATCTTTTTTTACATATCTCACCAGAAACGGATAGAATTTGATATCAAAACACTGTGAGTAAAATGCATGTATGTTCAACCCAACCCATAGCGGGGTGCGCGAGTAGAGATGATATATCTGTCGAAAACTAGATTTGTAATACAGTAATACAGACAGAAATAAGTCAATCATGTCTCTCTTGAAATTTTGATTTCTGTTCTGCGTCCCCTTCGCATTACGATATGACCTCCGCGATAAAGCTACATCAATTTGGTTTGGTTTTGTCGAGACCAATCAAATCGTAGGAAATGGTAGAGACAAAACTGTCTGTGAGACGGTGACAGTGGGTATGGTTCAGGCACTCAGTAAACCTTGAACAATTCACACAAAAAAGAAAAAAAACTCAAGTAGGTACAGTAATCAAATTAACTCACAGATAGATGAGGTACTTGTGAGAGGAAATATTTATAATAGAATATCGGAGGTGGCTATATGTATTGAGGATGTGTTACATGACATTGATCAAATATCAAACATACGCTGCAAATATTGAAACTAACGATAATAATGATAACAACGACAGTTTGTAAAGATGAAACAATTTTTACTCACTTTGGAGGCTGGTTGGCCGCATCTTGATATGGTTGGCCGCATCTTGATATGCTTTAATATGACAGCGTGATGCTGCTAGTGAGTTTCACAGGCGCTTACCAGTACTTGGCTGTGTAGACGCGCGATGCAGTTCCAGTCGAGGCCCACAAATTGACCCTTGCTCACCATAGAGTCTCCAGTAGCTCAGTGGTTAGAGCATCCGACTAGATAACGGAGGGTCGTGGGTTCAAGTCCCATCTAGGGCTCGGATTTTCCTATTACACTAAAAATTGTTTCATCTTTACACGCTCACTTTGGATGTTGGTTGGCCGCATCTTAATATGCTTTAATGTGACAGCGTGATGCTGTTAGTGAGTTTCACAGGCGCTTACCAATACTTGGCTTTGTAGCCGCGCGATGCGTTTCCAGTCGAGGCCCACAAATTGACCCTTGCTCACCATAGAGTCTCCAGTAGCTCAGTGGTTAGAGCATCCGACTAGATAACGGAGGGTCGTGGGTTCAAGTCCCATCTGGGGC